CCAGCTCCTCTTTGTATGTCTGGTAGAATTCGGCTGTGAACCCGTCTGGACCTGGGCGTTTTTTTGGGTGGTAAGCTCTTAATTGCTGCCTCAACTTCAGACCTTGTTATGGGTCTGTTCAGGGTTTCGGCTTCTTCCTGGTTAGGCTTGGGAGGATGCAAGTGTCCAGGAATTTATCCATTTCTTCCAGGTTTACTAGTTTATGTGCATAGAGTTGTTCGTGATAATCTCAGATGATGATTTGTATTTCTGTGGAATCTCTGGTGATATCCCATTTATCGTTTTTTATTGCATCAATTTGGTTATTCTCTCTTTTCTTTTTTATTAATCTGGCTAGTCATCTATTTTGTTGATCTTTTCGAAATACCAGCTCCTGGATTTATTGATTTTTTGAAAGGTTATTTGTGTCTCTATCTCCTTCAGTTCTGCTCTGATCTGAGTTATTTCTTGTCTTCTGCTAGCTTTTGAGTTTTTTTGATCTTGCTCCTCTAGCTCTTTCCATTTTGACAATAGGGTGTTGATTTTAGATCTCTCCTTGCTTCTTATGTGGACATTTATTACTATATATTTTCCTCTAGAGACTGCTTTAAATGTGTCCCAGAGATTCTGGTATGTTGTGTCTTTGTTCTCAGTTTCGAAGAACATCTTTATTTCTGCCTTCATTTCATTGTTTAACCAGTCAACATTCAAGAGCCAGTCATTCAGTTTTCATGAGGCTGTGCAGTTCTGAGTTAGCTTTTGAACTCTGAGTTCTAACTTGATTGCACTGTGGTCTGAGAGACTGTTTGTTATGATTTCCGTTCTTTTGCATTTGCTTAGGATTGATTTACATCCTATTATGTGGTCAGTTTTAGAGTAGGTGTGATGTTGTTTCGAGAATAATGTATATTTTGTGTATTTGGGATGGAGAGCTTTGTAAATGTCTATTAGGTTTGCCTATTCCAGGTCTGAGTTCAAGTCCTGAGTATCCTTGTTAATGTTCTGTCTCGTTGATCTGTCTAATATTGACAATGGGGTGTTAAAGTCTCCCACTATTACTGTGTGGGAGTCTAAGTCTCTTTGTAAGTCATTAACAACTTGCCTTATGTATCTGGGTGCTCCTGTGTTGGGTGCATATATATTTAGGATAATTAGCTTTTCTTGTTGCATTGATCCTTTTACAATTAGGTAATGTCCTTTTTTGTCTCTTTTGATCTTTGCTGGTTTAAAATCTATTTTATCAGAGATGAGAATTCCAACTCCTGGTTTTCTTTGCTCTCCGTTTGTTTGGTAAATCTTCCTCCATCCCTTTATTTTAAGCCTTTGTGTATCCTTGCATGTGAGATGGGTTTCCTGGATACAGCATACCAATGAATTTTGGCTTTTTATCCAATTTGCCTGTCTGTGTCTTTTGATTGGGGCATTTAGCTCATTTACATTTAGGGTTAATATTGTTCTGTGTGAATTTGATCCTGCCATTTTGATCACAGCTGGCTGTTTTTGCCCATTAGTTGATGTAGTTTCTTCATTGTGTTGATGCTCTTTACCATTTGGTATGTTTTTGGAGTGGCTGGTACTGGTTGTTCCTTTCCATGTTTAGTGCCTCTTTCAGGAACTCTTGTAAAGCAGGCCTGGTGGTGATGAAATCTCTGAGTACTTGCTTGTTCATAAACAATTTTATTTCTCCTTCACTTATGAAGCTTAGTTTGGCTGCATAGGAGATTCTGGGTTGAAAGTTCTTTTCTTTAAGGATGTTGACTGTTGGCCCCCAGTCTCTTCTGGCTTGTAGGGTTTCTGCTGAGAGATCTGCTGTGAGTCTGATGGGCTTCCCTTTTTGGGTAACCCGACCTTTCTCTCTGGCTGCCCTTAGCATTTTCTCCTTCGTTTCAACCCTGGTGAGTCTGACGATTATGTGCCTTGGGGTTGCTCTTCTTAAGGATATCTTTGTAGTGTTCTCTGTCTTTCCTGGACTTGAATATTGGCCTGCCTTGCTAGGTTGGGGAAGTTTTCCTGGATGATATCCGAAGAGTATTTTCCAGCTTGGATTCATTCTCTCCGTCACATTCAGGTACACCTATCAAACATAGATTAGGTCTTTTCACATAGCCCAATATTTCTTGGAGACTTTGTTCATTCCTTTTTTCTCTAATCTTGCCTTCTTGTTTTATTTCATTGAGTTGATCTTCGACCTCCGATATCCTTTCTTCTGCTTGGTCAATTCTGCTGTTGAAACTTGCGCATGCTTCGCGAAGTTCTCCTGTTGTGTTTTTCAGCTCCATCAATTCACTTATATTCCTCTCTAAGTTGTGTATTCTCATTAGCATTTGGTGAAATCTTTTTTAAGGTTCCTAGCTTCTTTGCATTGTTTTAGAACATGTTCTTTTAGCTCACAGAAGTTTCTTATTATCCACCTTCTGAAGCCTGATTCTGTCAATTCATTCTCCATCCAGCCTTGTTCCCCTTGCTGGTGAGGAGTTGTGATCCCTTGTGGGAGGAGACGTATTCTTGTTTCAGGTGTTTTTATCCTTTTTGCACTGGTTTCTTCCCATCTGTGTGGCTTTATTCCCTTGTCTTCTTTGTAGTTGTTGACTTTCAGTTTGGGTTTCTGAGTCGATGTCCCATTTGTTGAATGTGAAGTTATTTCTTTCTGTTTCTTGCTTTTTCTTCTAACAGTCTCGCCCCTCTGCTGTAGGACCACTGAGGTCCACTCCAGGCCTTCTTTGCCTGGGGATCACTTGCAACGGCTGCAGAACAGTAAGGGTTGCTGCCAGTTTCTTCTTCTACTATCTTTGTCCCAGAAGGATACCTGCCAGATGTCAGTCTGAGCTCTCCTTTATGAGGTGACTGTTTGGATATTCGGTGGTCAGGGAGCTGCTTGAGGAGACAGTTTGTCCTTTATAGGATCTCAAGTTCTGAGCTGTGAGCTCCGTTGGTCATTCAGAGCTGCTGGGCAGATGTGTTTTAAGTCTGCTGCAACAGAACTCATAAACCTCTTTTGTTTTCCCAGGTGCTGTGTCCTGGGGACTTAGGGCTTTATTTATGAGTTTCTCTTGTGCTGCTGGCTTTATTCAGGGCTGCCCTGCCCGGTGAGGAGGCAGTCTAGTCACTGTCTGCCTGCAGAGGCTTTGCTGAGCTGCTGTGGGCTCTGCCTATCTGCTGTGTAAACTTCCCTGCATTCCTGTTTATATGGGTGTAGTTAGAACTGCCTCAACAATCGTGGCCCACCTCTATCATGGCGGACTCTCTCTGTAATGGCGGGCTGCCTGAGCCATGGCAAACTACCTCTGTAGTGGTGGACTTCCTCAGTAATGGCGGATGTCCCTCCCCCACAGAGCTGGACTGTCCCAGGTTCAGCTGTGCTTGCTGTGAAACTCTCAATCCAGAGCGTTTCTGATTGCTGTTTTTTTGTGGGGGTGGGACCAGCCGAACCTGATCACCTGCCTTCCTGTCTCAGAGCAT